TAGAGCCATTTCAGGATAGTTTGAAAAGTAATCAATGATTACTAAATAGTTTTTTCCTTTAAAATGAAACAAATCCAGTCCTACTTTCAGCCATGGTGATGTTGGAATGTCAGTCATTATCATAGGTTCTTTACTCTGTTTATTTCTAAATGTCTGACATGTTTCACATTGACTGATTAGGGTTTCAATGTCCTTATTTAGTCCAGGCCAGAAAACAGATTCTCCAGCTCTTCTTTTACATTTTTCAATGCCAAGGTGACCCTCATGTATCCGTTGTAGAATATCCTGTCATAATACTTGTTGAATCATAATTCTGTTGTTTTTCAGTAACAGTCCATTCACAACACTTAGATCCGCCTTAACTTTGAAAAACTGTGAACACGAGCCTATTGGCCAGCCTTCATCCATATTCTGCATAACCAACTGTAACTCTGTATCTATACTCTAGTACACCACCTAGTGACATAAACATAATTCATTCAATCATGGCAAATATAAACAGTGGTGCGACATATTTAACTAAAACTAGTTCGAAATAATGGCCAACCAAATAGTCTACCTTTTCTTTTTGAGCTTGTCCTGTCCCTCTCTGCTGCTGCCAGCATGTTTTTATAGTTTAAATACCAAGACTTATGAAAACCAATATGTTAATACGGTAGCATTTACCTGATATATCCACAACTTTGAGCTTTGAAGCCAAAGGAAACTTCTCTTTCAGTACTTCTGCGATGCGGACCTCTCCGTCTGTTTGTGTGGACAAACATCTCTGCACGATCTGACCAGAAACAGCTACCTGCACAGAAATGAAAGAAATGAATAAAAACACAGGATAAACATTTCAAACTAGGACCGTTAGCGGTACGTACTCGGTGGCTACGAAGCGCGGAGATTACGGTGTTGCTACAGATTCGTTTACAGGCCAACATTGCGGGCGGGGAAAAACGTTAGTTCGGGATAAGAACAAATTAAAAACTTAAAAAGTCATGCCCTCCATATTTTGTCCCTGTGATATGACGTTTTCTTTTTCATTTGAAGTTTTCCCACAGCTTTCATTCTAGATGCTGCCATCTAGTGGATGGAGCTAAAATAAACGTCTCAAGTATGGCAGGCCGTTGTAATATATAATATGACCGCAGTTATTTTTTTCCCCAAAACATTCCAAGTCTAAATAATACTTTAACCTGTCGGCTTTGAAAACAATAAAATAAATA